AGAGGTTTATCAATCTTGTTGATTTTCTCCAGGAACCAGCTTTTTGTTTCATTGATTCTTTGGATTGTTTTCTGTGTTTCTATTTTGTTGATTTCAGCCCTCAGTTTGATTATTTCCAGTCTTCTACTCCTCCTAGGTGAGTCTGCTTCTTTTTTTTCTAGAGCTTTCAGGTGGGCTGTTAAGTCTCCAATGTGTGCCTTCTCTGTTTTCTTTAAGTGGGCACTTAGTGCTATGAACTTTCCTCTCAGGACTGCTTTCATAGTGTCCCATAAGTTTGAGTAGGTTGTTTCTTTATTTTCATTGAATTCAAGGAAGACTTTAATTTCTTTCTTTATTTCTTCCTTGATCCAGGTGTGGTTCAGTAGTTGACTGTTCAGTTTCCATGAGTTTGTAGGCTTTCTGGGGGTAGGGTTGTTGTTGAATTCTAACTTTAATCCATGGTGATCTGATAAGATACAGGTGGTTACTAATATGTTTTTGTACCTGTGGAAGTTTGCTTTGTTACCGAGTATGTGGTCAATTTTCGAGAAGGTTCCATGAGCTGCAGAGAAGAAGGTATATTCTTTCCGATTTGGGTGGAATATTCTATAGATGTCTGTCAAGTCCAATTGATTCATTACCTCCATTAATTCTCTTAGTTCTCTGTTAGGTTTCTGTCTGATTGACCTGTCCATTGGTGAGAGAGGAGTGTTGAAGTCTCCCACTATTAGTGTGTGCGGTTTGATGGCTGCCTTGAGTTTTAGTAATGTTTCTTTTACGTATGTGGGTGCTTTTATATTAGGGGCGTAGATATTCAGGATTGAGACTTCCTCTTGATGAATTGATCCTGTTATGAGTATAAAATGTCCCTCTCCATCTCTTCTGATTGATTTAAGTTTGAAGTCAAGTTTGTTAGAAATTAGTATGGCCACACCTGCTTGTTTCTTAGGTCCATTTGCTTGATAAGCCTTTTCCCAGCCCTTTACTCTGAGTAGGTGCCTGTCTCTGTGTTTGAGGTGTGTTTCTTGTAAACAGCAGAATGTTGGATCCTGATTTCGTATCCAATCTCTTAGCCTGTGCCTTTTTATAGGTGAGTTGAGCCCATTGACATTAAGTGATATTAATGACCAGGGGATGTTAACTCCGGTCACTTCTTTAGTAGTAGAGTTCGTGTGCGTCCCTTCTTTGAGTTGCGCTGGTGACGGGTCTCTAGATGTCTGAGTTATTGTGGTCATTGTTGGACTCCTTGGTTAGAGATTTTCCTTCTATTACTTTCTGTAAGGCTGGGTTTGTGGCTACGTATTGTTTAAATTTGTTTTTATCCTGGAAAATTTTGTTTTCTCCATTTATGGTGAATGAAAGCTTGGCTGGGTATAGTAGTCTGGGCTTGCATCCATGGTCTCTTAGTTTTTGCAGTACATCTATCCAGGACCTTCTGGCTTTCATGGTTTCCATAGAGAAGTCAGGTGTAAGTCTGATAGGTTTACCTTTGTAAGTAACTTGGCCTTTTTCCTTTGCGGCTCTTAATATTCTTTCTTTATTCTGTATGTTTTGTGTTTTGATTATTATATGGCGAGGGGATGTTTTTTTTTTTTTTTTTTTTCCAGCCTATTCGGTGTTCTGTATGCTTCTTGAACCTTCATAGGTACATCTTTCTTTAGGTTGGGAAAGTTTTCTTCTATAATTTTATTAAATATATTTTCTGGGCCGTTGAGTTGCACCTCTTCTCCTTCTTCTACTCCAATTATTCTTAGGTTTGGTCTTTTTATTGTGTCCCATATTTCCTGAATGTTTTGTGATGAGAATTTGTTGGTTTTGCTGTTTTCTTTGATCAGTGTGTTTATTTTCTCTATGGTATCTTCAGTATCTGATATTCTTTCTTCTATCTCTTGTATTCTGTTGGTAGTACTTGTCTCTGTAGTTCCTGTTCGTTTACCCAGATTTTCCATCTCCAATCTTCCCTCGGTTTGTGTTTTCTTCATTACTTCCATTTCATTCTTCAAGTCTTGAACTGCTTCCCGTACCTGTCTGATTGCTTTTTCATGTTTCTCTTGATTTTCTTGGGTATCTTTAAGCGATTTATTCATTTCCTCTACCTTTTTGTTTGTAATCTCTAATTGTTTATGGCAGTTTTTCACCTCCTGCTTAAGGTCTTCTATTATTTTCATATAATTCACTTTTGAGTCGATTTCTTCTAATTCTTCTGGAGTAGGGTGTACAATTCTTCTTATTTCGGGATCCCTTGATTCTGGTGAAGTCATGTTGCCTTTCAGGTTGTTGGAGGAAGTCTTGCATTGGCGCCTTCCCATCTCCTCCTTCAAATGGAGCCAGGAGAGGCCTGGTGTCTTGGTCCAGTCTTTGCATCCAGATGGAACTCCTCAGGACCACTCTGGGTGGGTTGTGGATGCAAGCCTGATGTCTCTCCTGGTGCTGGGTTCGGATCTCCTTGCTGCTTCGATGTCTCATAAACAAAGGACCTACCTAGCTCTCTGCAGGCAGGCTAGTGGGAACAAAGGAGCTACCACCCTCCCGTTTCCCCTGCCGATTCGGATTCGGTCCTAGAGCCAGGACAGGCTGGGCTGGGAAATGTTATGTGGTCAACGAGGGAAGGGAGTCTGATGGAGGGGGGAGGGATGTAGATGCAAGCTGGGTGGGATAGGAAGAGAGAGGTGGTATCGGGCAGTATTTAATATTTTTATTGATTTTATTGAGCTATACTTTTTTCTCTGCTCCACTCCCATCCTCTCCCCTCCCCTTCAAACCTCTCTCATGGTCCTCATGCTCCCAATTGACTCAGGAGATCTTGTCTTTTTCTACTTCCCATGTAGATTAGATCCACGTATGTCTCTTTTAGGGTCCTCATTGCTATCTAGGTTCTCTGGGATTGTGAATTGTAGGCTGGTTTTCTTTGCTTGAGTATTTAAGTTTTAACCCAAAGACTACTGATGCCCTCAGCTTTAGGTTAATGTTGACATTGATAACTGGTTAGAATGATAAGGATGAATGGTTGCTGTGTATTAAGCCCCAAATGAATCAACCAACAGCAAATCCACAAGAGGAGAGCAACTGGCCCAGAGTCTGAATAGGCAGCTCAGAGAAGGGGAACTCGAGTTTCTTAGATGCTCATGGAAAGATCCTCAACATCAAGATAATTAGGTAGATACATCTTAAAATTGAATGAGACTTGACTTACACCCACAAAATTAATAAAGTCCAGAAAGTCAGAAGGTGCCGTTTTGGAACGGAGGTGGAGAAATGAGTCTGCTTGTGCACAGCCGTGGCAATGCAAACTGGTGGGCTCTTCCGGAAGTCAGCAAATCACCCCAGCAAGCTGGGTGGGATAGGAAGAGAGAGGAAGTATCGGGCAGAGTAGCCCCTGAGGATGACCAGGAAGTGTAGGAGGGGTGTCTGAGTTCCCTGTCCCGGGCTGCTGCCGCGGTCAGAAACTCACTCACCCCAGTGATGTCTCTCCTCGCTTAACTGTTTTTATACTCTGGTTTATTCTTCTTTTGGAAAAGAATGGATTTCTTTTCCATTTTGATCTGAAGAATTCCCTCCAGTATCTTCCATAGATACATCCATAGATAGAGCTGATCTCATGGTCACAAATCAACTTTGTGTATTTTTATTATGGAATGCTTATTTTCTCCTCCAATGATGCCAGATACTTCGGCTAAATGGAGACATCTGGGTTCATAGTTGTCTTTCAGAATTTGAAATACAAACTTCCAATTGTTCTTTGCTTTTACCGTTTCAGTTGGCAAGTCTGCTATTGCTCTGATAGACCTGCTTTTATGTGTTACTTGATGTTTCTCGCCACTTTCAATATTCTTTCCTTGTTCCATATATTTAGTGGCTTAATTATGATGTATTTAAGTATGATGAGGGGAGTTATTTTCTGGCCTGTGGGTTTGGTATCATAAATACCTCCTGCAGCTGGATTAATACTTCTTTTCCTACTGTGAGAACCTTTATGACTTTCTAAAATGTCTTCTTTATCTGTAGAGCTAGATTCTTCTCCTTCTGTTCTTAGCATTCATAGATTAGGTCTTTTCATGCTATTCTATTTATTTTGGAATCCACATTTCTTCCTCATCATTGTCTCTTTTGCTTTGTGTGATTTTTCCCCTAACTCCTCCACCTTATCTTCAAACTTTTCTCTTCTGCCCTCTCTTTGATCCATTCTAATACTGAGACCCTCCATAGAGTTGTTTTATGTGACACACTGTGTTTCACTTCCAGCACTTCTGATTTGTTCTTCTTTAGTTTGTCTCTTTCATATTTTCCTCTTTCACGTTTTGCATCATGTTACTTATTTTACCCAGCTGTTCTCAACTGTGTGTGTGTGTGTTGTGTGTGTGTGTGTGTGTATCCCATGTGTGTGCAGGTGTCCACGATGGCCAGAAGATTTACTAAGGTTAGATATGGGAGAAAAGTGGGATATTTAAAGCTAAGGAGTAATTATTAAATCAACTTTGAAAGTAAAAAAAATCTATATGGGAAAAGTAGATGGGAGGGGAAAGTTGAGATACTGTTGGGTTCCACAGAATTTTAGAGACTGTTAAAGCTATGGATGATTATAATTAAAAATTAAAAAGAGTAGACAATAAGGATGAATCAATAAGGAAAGGATATAGACTTAAGAGGGGAAATACATCCCATCTAATTAGGAACTTGACACAGGAGGGTTATGAGTTCACGAACAATCTGAGCTACAGAGCAAGATCCTATCTTAAAACTGAGAAATAAATAATAAAAATTTAATTAAATAAAATGTTTTTTCCAAGATACAATAGTGATTAAAAATACAAAGCTTAGAAAAGAAATATTATATGAAAAGTGTTTTTTAATTACTTATGAACTCAGCATAAAATTGGGTTGATGTTACAATGAATATGTAACTTAGGCAATAGCTATGATCATCTGGCTCCTTCAAAGTTTTCTAAAATTGAGTCAAACACACACTCCCCTCCCTTTCAATGCCCCATGAAGACGCAGATCACTCTGGCCTCTCTATGTACCTGAAGGTAGGAGCAGGGAGTGATCCGAGCTCACCAGCTTCTGCAATCCTGCTTGGGTTGCATGCTTCCCATTCATGGCGCATCTGCCATCTCTCCTCATGGGTGGAGTTCCAGCACTCTATTCTCTTGAGACAATGTCTGCCATAGAATGGAGGAACAAAAAAGGCTGCATGAGGAGAGCACTCCATCACATCAGGAAAAAGATACCCATAGTGTGTGGGTGGAGGCCACTCAGTTCCCATATGCCCAGACCTAAAATAATCACTCTGAAATTATATTAATTGCAATACTGTTTGGCCAATAGCTTAAGTTTATTTCTAGCTAGTTCTACATCTTAAATTAACCCATTCCTATTATTTTATATTTTACCATGAGGCTTGTGGCCTACCACAAGGTTCCAGCTGGCAGCTTGTGTCTTTCTTCTCTGATGGCTCCATGGCTTCTTACTGACGCTGCCTTCTTTCTCCCAGCAGTCAGTTTAGTTTTCCCACCTCGCTCTATTCTGCCCTATCACAGGCCAAAGCAGCTTCTTGATTCATTAACCAATAAAAGCAACACATACACAGAAGGACCTCCCACACTAATAGTGAACACCAGACTTCCCTATTCTAGGAAGCCCTGTGATCCTTCCACAGCCAGCTCTATCACAGTCTCTTCTTCTCTGAAGTCTTTAATTTCTCATCATTACTACACTACACACACACACACACACACACACACGCATGCTCGCGTGCACACGCTTTTCTCTCCCTACACACTAGATCAATCCTCATGACTTATAGAAATGTAACCTTCTCTTGTTACCATGGCTCTTGGTAATCTACAACCTTGAACATAATTATTCTAATAAGATGTAAAGAAATCATAGTGAACAAAGAAATTTTCTTCCTGAAAAAAAAATAGTTGCTGTTTCATTTGTCAACAAAAACCCATTGTATATGTTGCGATCACCTGCTACCAAAAAATTACACCCTCACTTGGTACAGCTGCGTGTGTCAAGAGCCACATTTAGAGACTGAACTGAAAAGTTGTCGTGATCTCCCGGCTTGTCCGCAGCATTCCTAATATTGTCCCCTTCAGAAGTGGTCACATTTGGGGAGAGTGAAGATATCTCAACAACTGACACATCAAAACATCACCACATCAGTAGGACTCTATACATCAGCATTACCATACATGACATTATGCACCAATTTCCTTGTCACCCACTGTTGCCTAAGTGGCGATATTCCAAATCTCGGAAGATTGATAATGATGGTTATTCTGGAGTGAACTGTATCCCCATCTCACTCTCTAAAAACCAGGTCACATCCTAAGTCCCACTACCTCTGAATAATAGAATGGAGTCGCTAGTATTATTCATCTACTAGGACTGGCATCTTCATGAGAGTACAAGATCAAGACACTGACACACACAGAGGAAAGATGAAATGAAGAAACAGAAATAACAGTCATTGTGTGATGTTTTATTCTTTTGGCTTTTTGAGGGGCCTGCCACCCTGCTCCCAAGTAATTCACACACAGAAGCTTATTCTTAGTTATGAATGCCTGGCCTTAGCTTGGCTTGTTTCTTGCCAGCTTTTCTTAACTTAAATTATCCCGACTACCTTTTGCCTCTGGGTTTTTATCTTTCTCTGTTTCTCATACCTTTCTTTACTTCTTTCTCCGTGGCTTGCTACGTAGCTGGGTGACTGGCCCCTAATGCCCTCCTTTCTTGTTCTCATGCTCCTCTTCCTTGGTTCTCCTTTTATTTATACCCTCTGCCTGCCAGCCCCTCCTATCCTTGCTCCCGCCTCACTATTGGCCATTCAGCTCTTTATTAGACCATCAAGTGTTTTAGACAGGCAAAGAATCACAGCTTCACAGAGTTAAACAAATGCAGCATAAACAAAAGTCACACACGTGAAAATAACATTCCCCAATAGACAGCCAATTTGCAAGCATACACAAGGTCTCAGAGGTCAACCTCAGCAGTCCCTGAATCTCATGCTTCTAGCATCGAGAATCAAAGAGAGAAACTGTTGTTAAAGGCACACATTTTGTTACGCATGTCACAGCGGTACTAGCAAACTTAGACAATGGCTCTAAACAGCCATGGCAATTTTGCTCTTTCAGGGTTTTCTTTTGGGCCTGTTACAGAGAATGAGATATAAAGGAGTCTTTTCATCCTTCCAAAATGCTTCTTCTAGTGGGGCAGTGGTGGCGCACACCTTTACTCCATGCATTCTGGAGGCAGAGGCAGGCATTCTCTGTGGAGTGGAGGACAGTATGGTCTACAAAGCAAGTCAGCCATGGCTACGTAGTGGGGGAAAGCCTCTTCTGTTTTGCTATAGACATTATTTTATGAAGACGTGTTATCTAGAGCTACAGAAACTGTCTTGAAACTTGATGGAAAGAAAAAGAAAATCTCAGGAACATTGACTTTCACTTTGGACAGTGACAGGTTATTAACCCAAGCCCAGAACTGCTTTCCTCTTGGAGATCTTCTTCTCTGCCCTCTGATTAGCAGGGCAGACCATCATATCTGTTCCCCCTTGAAGCACCACACTCGTCATTTTCCTGTAAGGCCAATCTACTTCTCTATCTGGAATATGGAAGCATCATTCTAAGAGGTACACAAGTGAATTTAACCCTACAAGAAAACTAAAAGGAAATGGATGGCGGGATAACTGGAAAAATAAACAAACCTATTAGATGGTACCTAAAGTCATCCAGCAGGAAGTACTCTTTCTCCATGCCCTGACATCTTCATTCCTTTAATCAAGAAACGTTTATCATCACAGTTTACATGCCTGTCAGTGCCATTGCCATGAAACAGAAAATGGAATCATGAACCCGAACCTTGTCCATGATTACTTACTGTAAAATGGATACTGCGATCATTTCCCTTAGGATAGAGTCAATGGAATAAACTGTTACCTTTGGCCCCAAGAGTGCCAAGACATTGGACTTTCAACTTTCCGCACCATACCATATGTCTTAGTTAGGGTTTCTACGGCTGGGAAGAGACTCCATGACCATGGCAACTCTTATAAAGGAAAAACATTTAGTCGGAGTGGCTTATGTTTTCAGAGGCTTAGTCCATTATCACCATGGTACAACATGGTGGCATGCAGACAGGCATGGTGCTGGAGAGGGAGCTGGCTGACAGTTCTACATCTCGCACAGGCAACAGGAAGTGATCTGTCTCACTGGGCATGGCTTGGGCATATATGAGACCTCAAAGCCTACCTCCACAGTGACACACTTCCTCCAACAAAACCACACCTACTCCAACAAGGTCACACCTCTTATTAGTACCAGATTCTGGGGTACTTTTTCTTTCAAATCACCATACCATGACAGTGAGCCCTCTTTCTATATTATTAAACAACGCTTGAGGGAAAAAATCAGTAAATGCCACTTGGTAGCCACAGGAAGACTATGTTCTGTATCTCTCTGTATCTGTCTGCTGGTACAGGGCATTTCCTGTGGGGTCATCACAATGTAGGAAACGTCTCTGGTATCAGTGGGCCACAATCTATCGCCCCCTTTCTCTTAAGCCTTATTGCTCCCAGCTTGGCTGAACAGGAGCAACAGCTGCCATGATTGGTGGCAAAGTAAAGTCATCTGATGGAACCATACAATTCTTAACTAGCGTGAGGAGGAGCTAGCAAAATAAACCTTGAGTTTTGGGGGGTTTTTTTCCGTGTTATATTTGTGTTATTTACAAGCGAGACAAGAAATCATTATTTTCCTTCCAGGTGCCCACTAGCTGAAAAGCCACTTTTGAGGGCGCCAATGCCACCGTCTCAGTATTGTTTTTGCCTCACTGGAGGGTGGGTAGGGACTGGCAGTTGGACAGACTGTGTTTTAATTGGCCTCCTCCTAGAAGCAGAAGAGCCAAACATTTTTCGGGCTGCTTATTCCAGCCAGTTTCGGAGCAATAAAAGTGCATCTTTGATACGCAGAGTTTATGCTCTTCATAAAAATGCTAATTGCCATCTCTACTGAAAGCATTGGTGAGAATGCTTCTCCCCTCGGGCTCTTTAATATGAATATGGTTGTGCTGTGGCTGTGACCTTGTATTCTTTAAGGGGGGACAAAGCTTAAGTAAGCCCTTGCAGCCCCCACACTAAGGGTTCTGCCACGGTGATTCAAAAACATTCAAACGCTTCATGGAAAACTGGAGAGCGACGTCTTTGTTTCCTCCTTTCTCTCTTTTTAAATCTCTTACTACAAACACACAGAGGGAGATTACAATATTTTTTCCTTCTGTGTGTTTTTCCAAGGTCAGTCCGGAGAGTCTTCCTATTTGGCTGAGAAAAACTGAAGCCCCAGTAACTAACTGTGTTCACAACCCTCTCTGTGGCTTGGACACCTTCCCCACCTACAGATGCTACAAGAAGAGGCTGATGTCTTTCCAGGGCCCCACTGTTTGCTCCTCTACTACAGACAAGGGAGACAGAGTGATGAGTGAGGTTTTATTTGTCCTGTGGGATGACTCAGGCAACAAGAGTTTCCAGCGCAGAAGGCTGGGCTCTCTTTGCTTTGCCTGCCCCACCCCCATCTCTTTGACATTTAGGTCCTCGGGCGGGTTTCCACTCCCCCTGACAATCCCCTCACTCAAATCTCAAACTATAACAAAGCTCTTTTTTTTTTTCAAAGCTTCAATTGCACTCAATTTACTCTGGGAACGTGTTTAAAGGGCAAGGGTTTTGAAACATGAACAACAAAATAATCAGTTCTGGATTACACTAAATAGCATCCTTCCAGATGGAGCCAAGCCTTAAGAGGAAAAACAGCTTCCTGCAACCCTCCCTCCGCGAATGCGAATCTGTGGCTCAAAACTTTTTATTGAATATTTCCCAATGATGCCTGTCTTTCCAGTAGGGGAATGCGCAGTCTTTCTCAGAACTGAGACTGACTCTTCCTCGGTCCAGCTGTGGCCAGATGTTGCGCAACCGTTTGTTCTGTTCTCTGATGAAAAATGGCATCTCGTGAGCAGGCATTCTGCATTCCTACAAATGGTGTGTGTGTGTTTGTTTGTTTGTTTGTTTGTTTATGGGTAGGGTGAAAGAGCAGTTAATGTGAAAGAATTAAAACATAGCTGAATAAAACATCGTGCCCCTAAGCAATTTTCATTGTTACTGGGAAACCAAATATAGAAATCTAGATGGTCAAATGCTGATTTTTCAGGGCTTGGGAAATGGCTTCATTGTTGAAGTTCCTGCCAGGCCAGCATGTGGATTCAAGTTCATACCTGTATTGCCTACCTAAAACTGGGGCCCTGCAGCACACCTGTCATCTCAATGCTGGGGAGTTAGAAATGTGTGACTCTCCGGGGTCCACTTAACTAGTCAGCCCAATCTGTAAGCTCCAGGCTCAGTATGAGACCTTGTCCCAGAAAATAAAATGTAGAGTGCCTGAGAACGACAGTCAACATTGAATGCCAGGCATGTGTACCTACACACTCATATGCATGCACAGTCAACATTGAATGCCAGGCATGTGTACCTACACACTCATATGCATACACAGTCAACATTGAATGCCAGGCATGTGTACCTACACACTCATATGCATGCACAGTCAACATTGAATGCCAGGCATGTGTACCTACACACTCATATGCATGCACACTCAACATTGAATGCCAGGCATGCGTACCTACACACTCATATGCATACACAGTCAACATTGAATGCCAGGCATGTGTACCTACACACTCATATGCATGCACATGTGTCACACTCACAAACACACATAGAAAGAAACCGGGATGTCTCATATTCCTGATATCTTTTCTGTCTCATTGCAGCATGGACAAAGCTCGGTTCTTTTGCTCTTGACGTTCCAATCTACAAACCAAAGAAAAGAATGAAGGACTAGAGAGACGGCCCTTGTTATGGAGTTGTTACTCTACAATACTCTGTCTGCTCTTTCATTCCAGATCACATAATAGACACCTACAGGAGGCAGTCTCATCTGAGCAAGGAGCTCAGGTTATCAGTAGTCTGTGGACTGCATCTTAAAGAGCAACTGTTACAATGTCCCTCCAGAGATCTGAAGAAGGAATTGTTATTTGGTGGGTGGAATTAGGGGACAGAGAATAACCTAGTAGATGTGTTCCCAAAACCTTCTATGAAAAGTAGAAAGGTCTTTCCAGTGGTGTTGATACTTCATTAATCAAGATCCCTCCCAATTAACCCAATAAAGTACAGCTAGCTAAGAAGAAAGAAGTATAGAAGAGGGGGACAATCTTCTAATAGGGAGCCAATAAATAGCATTATATGAAGAAAAATGCCACATTACATCCAGGTGAAGAATGAATCCAGTCAAGCATGGCCAATGCCAGGGATACAGCCTGAGAAGACACCACAGATAACTTTATCATTGCATGAATAGCGTGGCAATGTGGCATATACTCATAAAACCAGAACAACCACAAGGCCACCTAGGTGACATGACATCAAATTATAGACCCATGGTAGTATCCACAGACCATAGTGGTCCAAAATATTGCTTTGTGACACAATTTAAACATAGACGAGATGAGATTGTTAGCCATCAGTGAAGGACACTGAAGGAATCCGAGAAGGAAGGTGACACCACGATCCAGTAAATCAGCAGCATGCAGCATGACCTTGGAGAGTCAGAAAGGAGAGAGAACTGAGACTTCCCTTGGTTTTCTTCCCTATGGTCACACTCAAATTCTTAGTTTATCATTCAAACTTTTGGTGTGTTTCTCCCATAAGAATAAGTGAAAATTCTTTTACATTATTGTCCTCTTCTCTGTCTCTAGTGCCTGATAAACATTCAGTATTCTCTAGATATCCAGTCAGTCGAGGAGCTACATGGATGCGTACATGGGTCAATGAATGGGTACCACGTAAAGAAGCCTGGGTGATGATAGCAAGGATAGAAACAGAAATGTGTACACAAAATCATCATGAAATATTAAAAGCAGCAGTAAGTTGTATCGGGGGCATAAAAGGGTCTGCAACACAGGGAATAGATTTAGTGGTTGTATGTCTGGGAGGAGGATGTAAATTTGGAGGGGAATGGAAGAGTCTATTTACAGAAGCAAGAGTGACTCCAAGTCCAGAAGGGGATTGACGAGGCTAGCTTTCACCCTGTTGAATTAAGACAACGGTAGCAACCTTGTTTAAAGGGTCTAAAAGAGCTGAAAACACAGAATGGGATTTGGAAAAGGACAGGAAAGAAAACGAAACAGGAAGAGTTTGCCTTTGAGAGGTGTCGGGTAAAGCTGTGGGCAAGGATGAACATGCCCAGGATGGAGGGCAGAGAAGAATAAAACAAAGACTGCGCCCTTAGGGAGGGAGGCAGAATGAGTGCCATCTCTGTGGAAACCGTAACTTAATCTCCTGAACCAGTCATCTAAGCTCTTGTTTGTCCAGATGACCCAGAAAATGCTACAGATCCTTGTCCTGTCTGGAGAGAGGAACCTTTAAAGGCAAGCTGTGTGCCAGCCATTAATCCGGATCACGAGTTCTTGCATGAGCCATCGGCAGCTCATGAGTGAAGCGGTCCAGGGATTGCCACTCAGCCTGTACACAGTAAGCTTATGCTTCCCTCTGATGCTATTTAGTTTGTGATGGTGTTATTAAAATGAAAGGGCTTTTTTTAATGAGCTGGGAGGGAATCCACTTAACCAAATTGTTCATAAACGACATAGAACACATCAAGACCTTGCTTTACGCCAGTCTCCCAATGCAGGATCCCGCCGTCGCAAAAACCTTTTCATATAAATATTTACAAGGAGAAAGAAAAAAGGAAAGTGGTTTGGGGAGCCACCAGAAAGAATAATACAAGAATAAACTTGAATGCAATCCAAATGGGCTCCACCAACAACAAGGAGAACCTGCCAGCGCCTGGGAGTTGGGACGACAAGAGAATCCAGAGTTCAGAGTCAAGCAGCTCATGAAAAGCTTCTCTTGGGACTCATTTCAGTTACCCTATAAAAACTAGATTTTGGGGTTTATTAAAATCGTCAAAACTTAGCTTGCAATAGACTCCCAACTGATATTTGTGATTAATTCATTACCCATTGTTTTTCTCTCAGCCATCAACTTCTAGTCTCTTCCAAGCTCCTTCAAAAGATGTACTGTTGGTGCTTCGAGCTTGTGGCACAGAAAGGATGCCTGTCCCCAGGCTAGTCACTTTGCATTTCATTTCTGAAGTTGCAGTGTCTGCTTATGTTGCTATGCGTGGAGCCTGTGTATCGCCCACCATTTCCATCTCTCCATCTGCCTTGCGTATCCTAAGTACAAAGAATGGCACATTAACAGAAATACCAATTATATAATGTTTTGCAATTGCTCTCCAGCCCTTCCCTCCACTCTCACTGGCTCCCCTGTGCAACCTTCCAACTCAGAGCAAGTTTGAAGCAAACTTGGCTCACAATGCATTTTGCAAATAAACCACAAAATAACATGATTGTAAAAATGTTAGCTGCAAAAGTAATAAATAAGGAAATAAATAAGTGTATAACCACAGAGCCTTGTCTGACTCCTCCACTCCCTGACCACAGTGGCCCTCTGCTGTCTGTCCTCACTAGGGGACTGAATGAGAAGCCAAGAAAACAGGAACACACACACCCCCATGCTTGCCCAGGGCCCTCATAGGTGGAAGTGATATTTCTGTCCTTGCAAGACAGAAAGTTCTATACCAGAACTATCTAACAACAAACAAAGTAGAGAGGCTTGGCTCTATGCCACCCTGCATTTCGATGGTCTATCATTTTGTAAGCCTAGTAGGGTCAGGCTCTGTGCCTAGATACATTCATGGGACACCTCATTTCCCTCCTTAGCAACTCTAAGAAACAGACATAATTTGTTTCCACTATGCAGATGAAGAACGTGAAGCTTGCAAAACAAATAGCAATTGAATCGCATTTCCCAGAAGCTATGTAAGCTCTACAATTATTGGAATGGGAAGTAGAGAGTAAAGGAGAAACATACTATGCCTCCTCCCTGCCTCCTTCTGACCACTACTTTCAAGCCTGGCTGAGATACCCTTGTTTTAAGAGAATTGGGGGCTAAAATATATTAAAGTCTAAACAGCAAGCTTGTCAGTTCTTTTGCTTATTTTCTTTGAAATCTTAATGGCTCCAAACCCTTCTTCATCAGAAGATCTCTGGCTGAAAATATTCTCCCTAGTGTGTAACTAGTGCTGCCCAATCAAAGATGGAACAAGAGCCTAAAAGCTGGGCCCAGAGCTCAGTAACAGAGCAAAGTCACCAATTTAGGGGTAGTGGTCAACGGTAGTTTATGTGAGGGATAGGACTTGAATATCAAAGATGGAAAAGAACCAATCTGTACAGACAGCAGAATTGTAGACCTTTGATCAGGGCCCACTGCATTGCCCAATGTTAAAGGAATAGGCTTACCCCATTTCATCCATGAGCAGTAGATACATACCCTTCTCTAAAACTGTAAAGTGCATATGGCATGTGGAGTCCTTTGGGACAGCTTATTTTCCAGAAGAAGAAAAATGGGAAGAAATTTGGGGAGGGAGGGAGAGAGAGAGAGAGAAAGAGGTGCGTAGATAGATGCATATACAATGAAGGATGGTCAGAGGTTGAAAACACCATGCATGGGTTAAAAGAACATACCAACTGCTTAATATACAAAGTTTTCTTCCATCCACTCACGTCTTTGGTTTTTGAAACATCTGCATCAATAAGGGTCATTATCCCCATTTTCCCAACGAGAAAATAGAGGCTTCTCAGAGACTGAGCCCTGACTTTTCCAAATGTCATGGGAAGCCAAGACCAACACCCAGGTTTCTAGCCTCCACCTCAGAGCTCTTCATGTCCTTTACTGCCGTGTTGGAAGTTCTGGAGAAGAGGCACCGCAGAGCTCAGTGTGAAAGACTCAGGAGAAGCTCCTAAAAGTCACAGTCAGGACAGAAGGAGAAGGGCATTCAGGAATATGGGTGGAGTAGAGGCAACAAGGACAGTGGAAAGTGCAAAGACCTGGAAGACGAATGAAATCTTTCCTTCTCTAGGACACTGCATTCCAAATGCCGGAGTCCTGCGGTTTGAACATAAACATTATTTTAATTCAGTAGGGATGAAACTCCTTCTAAAACTTATTATGCATTTGTCTATATTCTAACACAAAGTACAAAGAATCTAATTTAGCCTTCTAGGGAGACTAGACTGTCTCCATGATGCCTGCCATTCTAGAGGACTCTAAATTTAAAGGAGCCACTGGACTCCACACTCAGGTTGAGTTGCTGTGACCTCTTGGCTACCGGGGATTTGTGGTTAGATTTACTGCTTTGCTGTGTGTTCTGCCTCATCTTTCCTCATCGAGCCTATGACCTTGTTCATCTTCAGCAGGCCTGCCTATGGCAGCCCCTCCTGTCACTCTGAATGTGTTGTTTGGAAGCGCATATACATCTGGAGCTAGCTGAGCAACCCACATCTGAGTCTGGGACCTCAGTCCATTAGCAACGGGGGCACAGTACTGAAGCAACTTGTGACTTTGTTCATGCCCTTTCCTCAACCAGGCTCCTGTATGCTTTTTCCTTTGTTGTCCTGAAGATCTGAGTCAAATAAAAGTCTCCCTCGGGAAATAGCCTAGGAGCGCCAAGAAACGGCCTTACTAAGAAGTCTTCAGCAGAGGAGGCCGTGGTGGGGGAAGTCAACACCATCTCCCTTGGTCTGATACTGTGAACATTTAAAGACAGAATTTGCCTTTCACGTGGCTTTACGTGTGTGTCCCTCAAACCGGACTTTGTCAATAAGGTTAAAAATGCTGCCCTCGGTAACATTCTTTCAGAAAGGAGGCATATGTGGGAAAGAGAAAAGGGAGAAAAGGTTGGTTAGAAGCCTGGGGGGAAAAAAGTGGGGATGAAGAATATGAGGAAGGGGGCAGCGGGAGCTGGAAGGCACATTGTCCCTTAGCCCCACCCATTTCCTTGTGGCCGCAGTACAATCAGGATCCATTTCTGAAATCCCCCCAGCTTCTCCCTGGATTCTGCCAAGGAAAGCAGAACCAAGACTGAAGGCTCCAGCGGGGGATTCAGACGAACCCTCTTCCCCACCCCCCCACACCCACACTGATGATGCCCCCAGGAAGAGGCACCAAAGGTCAGCGAACCTGGTGCCTGAGTCCTGTGGGAGAAGGGAGCAACCCAGCTGGCAGGAGACAATGTTCTCCTGTGGCTGCGGGCGCTGCCCCTTCCTGCTCCCGGCAGCCTGGCTCCATTGCACCAAGCGTGTCCCTGGATGAACCCTTGACGGGCCCTCCCGCTGCTAGACAGGTATTCAAATGAATGCGTGTTTTATTTTAAAAGACTTTGTTTAAAAAATATGGTCTCAGAAAGTTCTCTGTTCCTCTTGCTCACCAACCCCAGTATAAGAATCCTTAGAGTCTGAAATCAACAACATCAGAGCAACTCAGCGTAGGTTGGAATCCCGAAAGATGCCATCCCTGCTTTGGAAATTACTAGTTTTTCTTCGTTTGGATCTCCTGTTGAGTCCTTGATCTCCTGTTGAGTCCTTGCCGTCCCTCACGGGACACAGATCTCCACAATACATAGCAGCCTTGACCCACTATGTACATCCCTGAACAGACACATAGACTGACTTTTTCAGTTTCTGTATGTGTGTAGGGTTATGCACGGTGTCAAGTACGTGTGAGGTATGTGTACAAGGATATGGTAATATCTATGCACACGTGTGTTCAGGCACAAGGAGGCCTGGGATCAATGGTGGGTGTTCTTCCTTCATCACCTTCCACCTTTGCTTTCTGAGACAGGTTCTCTCACTGGACCTGAAGCTAAACAGTTTCTCTAGACTGGCTGTCTAATGAGCTTCATGGATCCATCTGTCTCTACATACCTCACATGCTGGGGTTACAGGCCCCACCATCGTGCACAGCGTGGTAACTGTGTTCTGAGTATCCAGAATCACATCTCCACACTTGCTAAGTAGACAACTGACTGACAGCCATCTCCCCAGTCCCTACATTGTTGGTAGAATTGGAGAATCAAATCCGGGTCCGCGCTCATGCCCGGCAAGCTCTGAGCTATCTTCTCAATCCTATTTTAAGTTCTTAGGGTTTTGGTCAAGGAAGCTGCCGAGACAGGTGAAGTAATTTGGATCTTTCTAGCATATTCTGAAAATAGTATCTCATTTTTCGTTCAGGAAACCATCCATTCTCAATCAATGTGGTTTCTGAGGGAACAATCTTGATCTTGTGGGCTTCAATGGTAGAGCAGGTCCAGGCTGGCTTTTGAGAACATACAAATAACCCGATAGCCACAGTGGATGAGTAATAGGCACATACCAAGGCCGTGGAGAGTTAATTCTAAGATAGCCATCAGAATTACTAGGACTAAAACACCAGATTTTTTGTTATGTGTATCAAACTGAGAAGTTGAACCTGTGACTGCTGAGAGACCCCAGGAAAGGGGCATATTTAATAAAGAATGCATGTAGAAAAAAACCTGATAGGAAAAAAGTATAATTCTGTTCTCTTGTTTGATATATGTTATAATCATTCAATGATGTGCCCCAAAGGCTTTTCATAGAGCCAATTGGTGCAGGACTTACCTTAACTGAAATCAGGAGAGTCCTGCTTAATACAAATACAAATAAAAATCTATTGTAATATGAAATCTCAGCTTTGGAGTTTTATAGTTTGCCAAGTGCCGGCATAGGCAATGTCTCATTTAAAAACATACGCGTTTCAAGAAGTCCCGTTATCATGTTCACACATACTTTAGTGGAGGTTAACTAGTTTAACCATGTTCCAGTGGCCAATGAGTACCCAAGCTTAATGCTGAAATCTCAGATTCCGACTCTGAGTCTAATAGCATCATTCACCTGAGGAATTATCAATCCAGTACAAGAGACAAGCGAAGCCCAGGGATAAACTTAGAAGCCATGCAGGCAGGCAGGCAGTCCATACAAGGGTGGGATTTGTCAGCGCAACTGCTAGGTACTCAGAGTGAATGCTTTACGAGTCAAGGGGAAAAGTGTGCTGAAGCTTGGCCAGCAAGAGAAAAGCAGGAAGAAGGGGCTGCACTGTGAAATTTCCTCAAGGGATAGTAAGGTGCTGTTGCTTGTCATATGAAGAAAGGCTTTTCCAAAAAACCCAGGCTAGGGACTGGAGAGATTACTCAGTGGTTAAGAGCACTGGATGCTCTTCCAGAGGACCCAAGTTCAATTGCCAGCACTCAAACGGTAACTCACAACCATCAGTTCCTGGTGACCTAACGCCCTCTTCTGGCCTCCTCAGGTACCAGGCATGCTCATGGTACACAGACATACACTTGAGCAAAACACTCATACACACGGAGCAATAATAATACTTTTAAACATTTTTTAAAATCCAAGGATAATCCCATCTTTTTTCTAATAAAGAAAACAACCTGGGGTGGGAAAGGGTTTGCCATAAGTACTTGCTATTAGTTGATTATCTGCCATTGCTAGTCATATGCACCATTGCCAATACTCACAATGGCTTTCCAAGCTGGATATTGTCTTCACTTTTAAGATTTGGGAAATAAAACTTAAATTTTCTTTCTTTGGTTCCTTTTAGAGGCTGTACTCACATTTCAAGTGCTCTTCCTTTCTCAAACAAATGAGGAGGGCCCACTTCTCTCTCAGATGCCTCTGAAGGCACCCAACTTTTTCACTGTTCTTTCCTATGCTCCCTACACTCAAACACCGAGTTCATTCAACTTGGAAAGTCTCCTTTCTACATCCGTGTGATATCTGTGAGTTCCTTGTGGAACCGGAGCAGATGAGAAGAGAGAGAGAAAGCTGAAAATACAGAGGGCAACAGTTTTGACTTAGGCATGTGGCCAAAGTTATAAAGAAGGCAAGGAAGGTGCTTAAAGAGCCAAAGGCCAGGCTAAGCTGTTGCCAAACTAAGCTGTGAAGAAGCCAGAGCCTGAGTATGGCCAGGCTGACTTGTGATCTGCTCTGAAGTCCTCAGAGGGAGTGACCAGGGAGGGCAGGTGGAATTTCTTGTGAGAAGTGCTCTCCTTTTCCAGGACTAGAGATGCCCTATGCAGTTGAGCAATGATGGGATTAGATTTCAATGTCTAGTGTTCCTAAATGACGTGTGTAGAAAGACTGGCGTGGTTTCTTGTTTCCTTCTTCAGAGCAAGGGCTGGTTGGGTCAATTTCACTCTCATGAGGAAAACCTAGCTAGCGCAATGAAGGCACATTTCTTACACTAGAAATATTACAATTTAAAAATGAAGTAGAGGCTGGGTCACTAGCAAGCTTTATGGAGATTTCAATTTACGGATGATACGTTCTTAATGGGATACTAGAAGAAATGTCTCTCAAGGCACCCAGGCCATCTAATAGCTTGTATTCTACTATCACTTCTCGGGCCTGTCTTCACAGCCAGAATATTTAGCAGAGGACCAAAGTTCTCATCCCCGCACTTCTCTGTACTAGATGTTCAGCAGGGAAGAAGCTTTTGCTACTGCGAATCTCAACTTCTTCATCTGTGAAGTACGTAGAAGAAAACCTTCCCAGTGGTTGGTGTCTGAAGAAATAGAATACTAACGTGAATTTTTTTTTGAAAACTGTGAAGCACTATACTACTTCTGCAATCTACCTGAAAAATAGAAATTTTCTTCTTATCGATAAATATAAAGCATTGAAACAGACCCAAAAATTGCAACTCCAACCCTTCTAATTCAGTTTCTTTTCACTTTTTTAATGGTTAGTTTTCATTAGCTCAGTGTAAGTATCTTCTGGGATAAGAATTCCTTTTATATCCCTTCCCGATGATGCTGAGTAAATATGATATACCCAATGTTCTAGATGCCAGAGACATGAAGCAAACAGTGACAATGGTGATGGTGATAAATACCCAGAATTCCTTGGGCACTTTCCATGGACCCTATTTGACATACTCTAGATCTCCAATCTCTTAACACCACTATGAAGGAGACATATTGCTACCTCATGCCACAGATGAGAGAAGATGACTTAACGAGACTCAATAATTTCCCAAACGTCACACGGGGGCTTATTAGAAATGCTGCTGGTTTCTAAACCTCCACATGTCAATAGTGTTCCACTGCGACAGAAACCATGGTCCTTGCTCTCATAGAGCTTACAGATTCATGAAGGATGCAGACAGAGTACCAGATCAGTACACTGGGATAAGTACCTTCAATTGTCAGAGAACAGATATCTCCTAGCCTGTTGGTCATTTCCCAGGAGTCCAGGCCAGATGTGTATCTGTACACTATGAGGACACAGGTCTTTTCCTCTGGACTACTGACAGCCAGCCTTGAGTGTACCTACTCATAATATCACCCCTCCCATTCATCAGTGCATGTTTTCAAGATATTGGACAGTCATTGTCCCATTTGATCCTCCCAACAGATGCTTGAGACAAGTGGACTAGGGACTATTATCCCCAATTTACCTGAGGAAACTGAGGTGCTAAAAGAGAAGACCTGCAGCAGATAATTAGATCCATGCCCGGACCTCACCATCATCTAACCTCAATGACATGTCCTCTAGCATAGCATCCCACAGCTTTACTAAAGCTGACTTCTCTCCTAGACAAATGTGCAAATGTTTCCAAAGACACCTCAGGATAGGACTGTGAAGACCCTGCCTTCTACAAAGGTGGTTTCCACCCAAATCAGCCACTTTGGATTTATAATACTGAGCTTTCTCCTTCGTCTCTAATACATTCAGCTTTGAGAATTTGGTACCCTCAGACCTTTTTAATCACTGGGTTATGCTGTACTTTCCCTTGTATAATTTAAGCGTCGATTGTGATCATTTTGGTCATTCAAACAGCAATTTAAAACACAGCCGGTCCCAGTTAATATTGCTTAAGGATGCACGGTCCAGACATGCCCTTGGTATCAGATACACACCATACCTATTTTCAGGGACAAGGAAATCCACCCACACACATTCTCTGCTGGTCTATGGAGTTGGCATCCAGGCACTGTGAAAGTCTTCAGAGGCTATGACATCGTTCCACCTTCCACCTATTGCCAACATGGCTTTAAACACTGGGATGTGTTTTTGTTTGTTTTCTTTTTTTGTTTGTTTGTTTGTTTGTTTTATGAGGTTGGGGATTAAACCCACGGTCTTGCTTATACTAGGTAAGCCCTACACTTGAAATCTTTGGTATTCTGAGGCAGGATCATGCTATGTATCCCAGGCTGCTCCTGAATTCACTGTGAATTCAGGCTAGCCTCATATCTGTAATCCCCAGACTCTTGTGTGTTGAGATTAGAGGTATGTGCCTCCATGCTCAGTCCCAAGGATATTATTTTATTTCTCCCACCTATCTTTCTTATTTTTTCTCTGCTTCTCCAGAAGGTACCCTGTAGGGGCCAACCGACCTGTCAAATGGCACCAGTATAAAGCAGTGAGGATTAAGAAAGAGACAAATATAGAATCTGCAGGGCTCTCGGTGAATACTGCAGCAGCTCTGAGTTTATTTCTCATAACCCTTTTATACCCAAAGCAAAAAAAGGGGAGGGCAAAAGACTTCTTTACCATGGTTCAAGGAACAAGCAAGAATAATCATCTCCTTAATTCTCAAAACATCTAGTAACCACGCCTTTGAACAAACATCCTATTATTTGACCTTGAGGAGCAAGAAGAAGTTTGAACTCTGACTTTAAGTCAAGATGGAATGGAGTCCCTGTGGTCTTCCCATAGTACCCAACTGTCTAGCCAGGGACAACCCCAGACAGGCAAAGACTTTTAGCATGATTATCAATTGGTAAGGGACAAAAATGGTTGCAGCTGACACATGAATGTCTCAAGCGGTCATGAAGGGTAAGAAGGACATACGTGGCTAGATCATGTCCAGTCTCGGAAACTCGGTCACCGACTTAAGGCCCATTCCTTGCTAAGTTTCATCCAGGGTTGCTAATGTGGCATAAGCATCTTTAAGTTTGGTTTCTGGTGTTCCAGGACAGAGTAGAAGATTTGCAGATATAAACAGTGCATACCTCTTTTGGGTATACCCAGGTAGAAATAGGTTTTGGTCTTACTGATCAACCTCAAAATTTGTAGATGTGACTTGACATGCCTGACAGGGTCAGCAAATCAGAAACCCAGTACAATCTGCAAATTCTGGTCATGTGGTTCTTAGCAAGAGGAAGGAATGGCTGGGGCAGGGAGACCAACCCCACCGCCATTTGAATAGACCTCACTCGAGGGTGTCAGGGCAAGCCACTAGACATTGCAATTGTATGTGCTACATCTGCCCTCCAAGGGATGCTTCCAGAAACACAGCTCAGACTATGCCACTGTGCAGCATAAACTTCATCTTTGTCATCTTCCCCCTGAGTAGTCAGTGTTGCTCCCTGTCTCCAAGCTGCCGCATCTACTAGACCTAGAATTCCGGGCTCACATTGTCTCTCCCTTGCAAACTTGTGCTTGGAGTTTGCTGACTACATGTTTGAATAGCTAGCTGTTCCTTCCTCCATAGTCCCTTAGGGTTGCAGTAAGCATGTTGCTCTGCAGCCATTTTTATGATCTCTCTGCTATGGTGCCGATCTAGAATGTTCTCCCTAAAACATATGAGTCAAAGGCTTGGTTCTCAACTTAACTATTAGAAAAGAGTGGAAAGTTGGGAGGTCTTCTTACAGGATGATGAAAGGTTTGCAAAATGGTAATCTAGCTTCTCTCTTTGCTTCCCCGCTACCAGGAGGGAAGCAGTTTCCTTGGCTATGCATTCCCACCATAATATACTGCCCTGCCACAGGCCCCAAAGCAAACAAACCACTGACTGTGGAGCACCCAGCTAAACACTTGAAAACAAAGAAAAATGCTAAGAGAAGCAGAGGAGAGAAGGGAGGTGGGAGATGCAAAAGAAGGAGAAGGCAGAGGGAAGAATAGAGAGGGAAAGAAAAGAAGGAGGAGGATAGAAGGGTGGGGAAAAACCAAGGGGAAATGACAGGAAAAGGAGACTTTGCCAAGTGCTAATCCTTCAGGAAATAGGAATAACCTCTCCACCACCTCCACTCACAGGAAATTCATATCCATTCCACAGCATCTCAGTCAAAGTACTTACTTGGATCTGATAAGACATGTACTGACTCTTGGTTTTCTATTGATTCGAAGAGGCTCCTAAGAAAATTTAATAAGAGTAGGAAAGATAAATAAATGTACAGGTAATAAACTCTAGATTACATAAGCAAACATTTACTCAATTACATTCCTATTAATATATTGACTCTGTAATGAATTTTTGAGGTATTTAATTATCAATTTGACAAGATAATCTAGGAGTAGTTAATGATTATACCAGTAAATTGTTTTTTTTAAAAAAATCACTGACAATTATTAAGTCTCATAACAGACATCAGATTAACTTGCTAGAGCTGTCTGGTTAAATAGACAGCCATTAATTATGAGGTACTTACACATGCTCTGCATTTTAATATGCGAGTCTGTTTAATGGTGAAGCACTGCCGGCAACGTGAACAGGAAGAGTTTGCACACGAGGCATTTCCAGATTCCATATGATGTGACCCCTGAACAGCCAAGAGCATGGCGTGGCACACCAAGCCAGCTTCTGCTTTTCATCTGGGAACAGAAAACTAGAAATCCCTAAACAGGACAAACTGCTTGGGCTATGTACTCTCCGCCCTGTCTTTCTCTGTGAGTGGTCAAAAGGTGAATAATCTCACACCGCTATTCGGGCCCTTTTTAAAATAATTGCTCAGGGGACTTGGTCTGTAGTTTTGTTTTGTTTTGTTTTTAACTCTTTGGGGCCCATCACCCAGCTCCCAAATAAATACATGGAGACTTATTCTTACTTACAAAAGTTTGGCTTGTTTCTAGCCAACTTTTCTTAACTTCGATTATCCCATCTACCTTTTTACCTGTGTCTATCCTATGCATATTTCTTTCATCCTTACTGTATGGCTGGTTGTGTTGCCGGGTGGCTTTTCCCTGGGATCCTCCTCTTCTCCTCTTCTCTTGCTCTCTCTTCTCATTTCTTCTTCTATTTATTCTCTCCATCTGACAACCCTGCCTATTTCTGTCTCCTGCCAAGTTATTGACTGATCCGTTTTTTATTAGACCAATCAGGTATTTTAGGCAGGCAAAGTAACACGGCTTCACAGAGTTAAACAAATTCAACATAAAAGAATGCAACACATCTTTGCGACACTGAACACTTACTTGACAGAATAAACGAATGTCACACATCTTCAACTAATATTCCACAATAGTTGGCAACAAGAAATTACACAGCAAAGCCCAGGGTGACTTTATCTTACCTTAGAATGGCAGCTGAAGACTGATGGCTTAACTAGTTGAGAAGAGATTAAGGCCAAGAGGCCAGTCTTGCCCCGTTGGCTTCTCAGAGATCCGGAATACCTTTGCTTCAGTTCAAGGCCCAGGGACTCCCTACCTGCTCCTGGACAGACAAACTTCATTCCATAAACAGTCAAGAGAGGTTTCACAGAGTCCCCTCTCGTTAACCCTTAAGGATCTAGATTTTACTTTTCTCTGAAGATCGCTTTCTTATCCCTTATTCACCATTATTTTTGTCCATGACTTGCTCTTCCTCATCACTATCTAAATGCCCTGGCTCCTGCCCCCTCTCCCTTAGCTCTTTCAGAGCCACACATTGCAGCTGACAGCACAAACTAAATATTCAAGAAAGTATTTCTTCACTTGAGATGAAGTAAACTGTCTTGGATTGGATTGAATCCAACTGGAGTGAATGGGACCTCGTAAGGAAGGAGAACAGAAACCAGAACTGACTCTTTACTTTAGATTCAAGCACTTGCATACAATGGAGCAAGAGAAGGGTCATTTGTGGACTCTGTATCCACATGGCTGCGGCTGAAACCTCAGTGCCGCTGCTTGCCATCTCCACGATGTGGGTTTCACTGCTCAGCCTGGCTGTACCCCGCTCTGAGAGCAGGTTAAGACAGCCTGCCTCACATGACCACTGTGAAAAGTGAATTACTAGGTACTGACTTAGCTTCTGGGAGAGTGCCCAGTCCCTGGGACAGGCTGGACATGTTCGGAAAGACAATAACTTCAAAATACAGTTTGCCACCTTGGATTGCTGCCCTCTTTTGCGTGCAACAACTCACGTCATAGTCTCACAAAGGTTTGTCACAAGGAAACTGTCCCAGTCATTCAGCAAGACACCTGAAGGCCTGGCAAGATGGCTCACTGGCCAGAGTCACTTGCTGCCAAGACTGACGTTAGAAGAGAACCAACTCACGAAACTGTCCTGTGATTTCTACAGATGTGCTGCGGTGCATGAGCACACATGCTCGCGCGCGCGTGTGTGTGTGTGTCTGTGTGTGTGTGTGTGTGTGTGTGCGCGCACACTTAAAATAAGTAAATGTGAAAAAAAGAGAGGAATCTGAGGCTCTCAAAACAAGTGTAGATAAGAGCTCAGGTAGGACATATGAATTTGTAGGATCTGAGCCTTCCGGGGGAGGGGTTAAGTCATAATTTCAGTTTAATCTGTGCCATGAGAGTTTGGTTATGTGATCCTGTTAGCAGTATGCGCCGTTGGCCACCTGACAGGCAAGACTTAGGCCAACTTTGTCTTTGACACTATTAGAATTGCCTTTTCTTACCCAATCTTAACCAAAGCAAAGGGTGCCAACATGAAGCAAGATGAAAAACCTGTGTCGGAGTAGGCTAGAACTTGCCCTGTGGGGAAGTCATGAAGCCAGAATTCTAGCCCAGGTTCAAACTCATAACATCAGCAGCTAACACTACTGAGAACTTACCTTGTGTCTTGCGCTGCCTTTACCTCACTTAAAGCTCCAGACAAACAGCAGGCACAGCTTCTCTGATCATCACATTTGGCAAGAGACTTACGCTGTGGGTAAGCAATTTATTCAAGGTCAAATTGCTGATAAGTTGCATTAGCGTCTCAATGACCTTAAACACACAACTCCCTGAAGCCATGAGAAGTGCACTCTTGTGATGAATTTCACTCCTCTAGGGGGTGATTAAGTGGTTTTAGGCAACTCAAAGTCAAACCCCAGACATTTCAAAGTATTCCAAAGGTAACAAACAGCAAACCATTAGGCATGGGAAGTTTTGTAATAATTACATAAAATAAATGCACAGTTGGCAGAAGACAAAGATCCAGCTCATCAATTCTGCACGTCCATTTGCTCTGTTTGTCAACATGACGTTCACGCCACTTTATAACCTTCTCTCTTCACGTAATAAATTATACTGATCATCTTTCCCTATCGCCACTATCCATAATTCCAATTTTCACAACTGTATAAACAACCAGCAATAACTACCAAGTGGTATTTGGCTGAAACATCACAATAAAATAACATACCTAAGGAATGTTTGGTGTGTTTGCTACCGATGAACCTGCCAGGAGCATGCTAGCACACGCTAGCACAGCGCTGCTGTTTCAATAGCACACACTACCCAGGAGACAGGAAAAGGAAAGTGTGGGACCAGTTACAAGGACAGCCCAATACGGACTCAAAAGCAGACGTGTTGACCAGAGAGACAGTAGCTATCCTGGGGAAAACCTGCACGCTATGATTTCCTAGGTTTTTCTTGTTTTGCTTCATTTTGTTTTGTTTTAAGACAGGGTCTCTTGGCATAGCTCTGGCTGTCCTGGAACTCACTAAGTAGACCAGGATGGCCTTGAACTCAAAGAGATCCACCTGTCTCCACCTCCCCAGGGCTGGGATTAAAGGTGTGCCTCACCTAGGTACCTGATAAAAATGCCAAAAACATACACAAGGAAGAAAGATAATCTATCCCACACACAGAAGGATGAGATGAGACCTGTAACTCTCACTCCACAGGAACCATTTCAAAGTGGTCCAGACACCTTGGTATAAAGCCTGAAATGCTAAACCACGAGAGGAACACATAAGGAATACACTTCAAGTTGCACTTAAGGGCTAGACCTTTCTGAACAGAATTGCAATAGCATAGGAAAAAGCTCTAAGAATCAGCGAACGTGGCTACCTGGAATTTCAAAGGGTCTACACAACAGAAACTTTACAGTCTACAGAATGAGAGAAAACATTTGCCAATCATACCTCGGACAAGCTGTTGGTATTGACTATAGGGGAAAAAACTGTAAAATTAAACAACAAAACTCCCATTAATAATTGAGCTTATAAAATAAACAGCCAGTTCTCAAAAGAAGAAACACGAGTGGCCAGTAAGTATTTTTTAAACCAGGTTCAGCTTCTCTAGCCATCAGGCAAATGCAAATTACATCCACTTTGAGATTCCATTTCACAGGAATCTGGACAGCTAAGATCAAAACTCAAATAACAAAGGCTGTCAAGGATGTGGGGAAAGTGGGATCCTGATTCACTGCTTGAAGGAGTGCAACTTTGCCTGGCTGTTATGGAAATCAACACGAGGAGTCTCAAAAAAACTAAAACTGTTTTTACCATATGTTCCACCTGTATGATTCACGGACATATAACTGCATATCCTAGCACAGAGATACCTGCATTCCGTGCTCATGTCTGTGCTCTGCACAGCAGCAAGGAACTGGCTGAAAATGGGCTTCACAGTCACAATGGAATTTTATTTGGCCATTAGGAAAATGAAATCGTGCAATTTATGGGCAATGGATGAAAATGAAAGTACTATGTGAAGCAAGATTCAGAAAGGAAAATAAATGCGTATTCTCTTACATCTGTAAATCCTAACTAGCAATGCTTACATGTATGCCTGACTGGGGGGACTGCAGGGTGTATTGGCTAAAGAACTAGAAGACCACAAGAGAGGAAGAGAGAGATTGAAGAAGGGGCAGGGTACAGGTGGTATTAAAGCAGAAGAGAAGAGATTGTCACGGGTGGAAAGGTGCAAAGAAGGGCAGGAGGAATGAAAGAGAAGAGAGGAGGAAGAGAAACCAGCAAAACAAGTTGTGTTTGAAAATGCCATGATGAAACTAAATCTTGTGTAAGCTAACTGAAAAAAATAAAGATTAAAAAGAGAAAGAGAAAAGAACATAATGCTGGGGATGACCTCATGTGTTCCTGCACTCTTGAATTCTTAAGACATCAAACACTGACGGTTTGCTAAAGTGAACAAGCATGCATTGCCTGCTCAAAGCTGAATTGTGGTGTCTGGCTCTGGGGCAAAGTTTACATGATGTCAAGAGAACAGGGGTCTCCTGTGTGAAATGGCTGTGAACACAGACCTTCGAGGAGAAGAAAGAAAGTGATCAAAGCTCCAGGGAGCAGAACTTAAGCGGTGCTGAGTAAAGCAGCTTGGGTATCACTGGGATGTTTGACTCTCGACATGAAGGAAATACTCTCCATGAAATACACCCACTGGCTACCTGCTTTCTCCGTGTCACCGAGGAGCTGACTCTGCGGTCCAGATGCTAAAACTCAGGATCAGGAACTCAGCAGGCCTGCAAGCCTCCCACGCTGCACCTCAAGGTTTCTTGCAAAACCGCTGGTGTGCGGGCAACACATTCAACCATTTGGCCCGAGTTCTTTACATGTAAAGTGGACAGCTTGACATGCCTGACGGCCCATGTCTGTAATCTCAGATCCCAGGTGGCTGAAGCAAGAGGCTCAGGAATCCAAGATCATCCTTAGCTATAGACTAGGTTCCAAGCCAGCGTAGGTGATAAAACAACAGAAACAAACATAGCTGATTTAACTAGAAAATTTATTGCGTTGGTTTCCAGTTTACAAGTGAAGTCTTGATTTCCTTATTTTCTTGGCCTTTCCCCCTTTAGTCCAACACAAAGACAAGGACCACTAGAGGTCGGGCTTTTTTACATTGTTCTCCTTGAAGAAAGGAATTCAAGGCTTGTGTTAACAGAGAAGAAAACAGGAGGTCATCTATCCTGGCAAGTAGCGCCACAATGTCTGTTATAAACTGTCCTAGTCCCATAGATTTCTAAGAAACAAATGTTTCATAATTCTCTGTGTCATTCCCTTGAATGGCATTTGAATCTAGCTCCTCTTGCTGTCTCCCAATGGAAACAGCTAGTCATTATCTGCGCCCTCTGCATAAGAATCAGATGGGACGCCATTCCTCCAGCTGCAAAGTAAGATTCTAACTCAATCAATAAGCAAGGGAGTAGGACTCCAGCCTAAGTAACCCGAAATCACGTGGTCAGTGAATGGCTAGGATGGGATAAAAATGAGACATTACATAATTCCAAAGTCCACGCTGCACCCGCCACAAAATACCAACTCCTGCATACTTCCAGACTCGATTTACTACGAAGAGCCATCATTCACAAAGGAATGGGAGCTGGAGGTGAAGAGAGATTTCCCCCAAGGATATCATGAAGAACTTGGCTTGGCCATGGGCTAAAGCTAGCTCAAGAAGCCCTTGGCTGCTCTCAGGGCAAGCTTCAACACTAAGCTGTAAGAGCGAAGGAGTTGGAGGACAGCAAACCCCAAAGCAGTAAAAATTAAGAATGTTCCGATGTGTTGGATCAAAACTTGGGAGCCTCATGCGCTCCACCCTCTCCCCAATAACAGCTGCAAGTGTTTGTTTTATTCCTCTAACATCTGGACGGCCCGCGTGTAAACAGAATGGAGGTCAGTGTAGGGAAGGGTCTGAACGGTCTATTTCTAGGTCTCCTAAGGATACGATGAGCTGGGACAGAGTCTGCCATAGGGAAATTCTTCTGTGCTTTTCTGACAATGTCAGCAGCTGTTTCCAGCGGTGACTGGCGATCTCTGACTGCCAGCCTGTTACTCCACAGAATGGGTTACTTGCAAAGAAAAAGCCTTTATTCCTCACAGTTTGGAGGCAGCGAGGTCCAAGGTCAAGAGGCCAAGGTGCTAAGGACCTTGCTGCTGATGGAGTCCCAGGTTGGCACTGGAAGTCACATGACATGGCAGAGAAAGCTTGCTAGCTTGGAATCTCTCTTCCTCTACTAGTGAAGCCAGCACGGCAGTCACAGTCTCCTCGCCGAGGACCTCATCTACCCATCTACGTAAAGTCTCATCAGCACCACTTGCGAACACAAGAGACATGACTTCGAGGATGGTTCCACTATGAGGGTTGCCTGCATCCGATAGCTACACCTTAGCATTGACCTGTAATGCCCTTTTATGCCATCAGGGGAAAAGTAAAGGTATGGTTGGGTGATGGCCAGTGCTCTAAACGACCCAGATTCTAGTCTGGGCTCCACCAATGACTGATCATTGGGAATACTATTCTTTGGGGGTCTCATTTTACCATGTGGGTCTTGAGTTGATAGAGCCTCACCTAAGGTTTCATTGAGATTGATTATTCAATTTTCAGTCATAGCTCTAGCAACTAATACATAGGAATATGCCCATTTCGTGAGAATATCACTAGTCACTGTTTCTCTTGGTCTCCTGGATATGATGCTTCAATGACTATCAGCCCTCCAAGTCCATATTTTTCTAAAACTACCATCAGCGTTAAAGACAGAATTCTATCTACTAACCATGGCTTGTCTTCAGAAGACTACTGAAGGAAGACTCTCTCCTTACTCAAAATCACACAAAAAAAGATCATCTGCCCAGGCATGCTTAATGTAAAATATGACTTAGATATTCAAATATACTTTTAAAGTTCTTCAGTGTATTTTCTTCTTCTAAAAAGTGCGTTGAGGTTATGGTCTTATTTGAAATAAATATACTTAACTGAAAGGCAAACATAATAATGAGTCACTGAAATTACAAATAGACCTTGAACTCCAAAGTTCTTTCCCCAGTGTGGCAGGCAGTGAATCGCTGATGAAGAGTTTAGCTGAAGGAGGCATCAAATATGAACATAGAAATTGAGGTATTTTATGAAATAATTTTTAGTAATCCATCAAGTAAGCATCGGTAACAAGGGATGTTCTTAACTTATTCTCATTCCACTGGACTTCATACTCTCCTTTAGTTCTTCTTT